ACAAAAATTTCGAAAATTCTCATTTTTTCGAAAAGAACTGATAAGAGGTCAACGGATTGTGAAATTAAAGATCTTAGAAGATTTGTGAGATAATTAAACGCTTTGATGGATACCTTTTCAGAACTTTAACGAACCAACACACCGGTAACATGTGTGGAATGTTATCGGTCAAGCGCAGTGCTCGATCTAGGTGTTCAGGACGCCAGAATTCGTGTAGTCTAGGCATCCTTAAATTGTAAAAATCCATTATCAATACTAGAATTACAATTATTATTGATTATTGATAATATCATCACCAACAATTATTCCAATCGATTTTACAAACTTGATAAGGTCTCTTTTGAGGAATACTATTGAATATTATTATAACAGAATATTTGAGTATCAGTTAAGGGCTTGTCAATACGATTTAATTACAAGCTAAACGGTCTCGGCGATAGATAGCTCAGAGGCCGAGCACCGAGTCGGCAGCTGGTACGCTACGGGTTCGATTCTCATTCAGGGAGGGACGTTTCGCTCGAAATCAAGTGCTATGACAGTGTTATTGATAGCCGGAATTAATTGCTTTGGAATATCAAATACGGTGATAAAATATCGATGATGAAAAGAGTTTACTTCAATCTTTCTTGCACCATTTCTGCTTGCTTGATCTGGGAAGGTTCACCGGCCTGAAAAGTCACTGTATAAGTTTAAAAAAGAAATCAATGAAGAGCTACGGCCATACAAAATTTCGATTTCATGCCCAATTCAATATTCGATATCTAAGAATATACTCATTGTTGCCTACGAAAACAGAGTCGAAATCGGAATGCTTTCTCAATTTGGTATTGATATGATTTGAAACGGAGATTGAAACGCAGCAGTGTCATAAGATTGCACCCAAATTTGTTTTCGTTTTTTTTGTTGACAGAAGTGCCCATCGATGTTTCGCATCAAACTTAGTGTGAAGAACGCACAGTCAGACTCATTGTCAGGCTAAAGCATTCGTCAACATTCAGCACTGTGTGTGAATTTTTGAGTTGTTCGGCTGTCGATCAGCATGGCACTTAGCTTAAGATCTAGAATCGGGTTTGCGCCGCCGGTAAACTGAGGCGGCTCCAGTTGGGTCACAGACAAAACAATGATAGAATTAATATAAATATGAACATTTTCGGTTGCAGAGTAAAAAGCTGAGAGTGTTTGATTTCGAGAGACTCACATTTTGCTGACTGAATTCCTTCTTCATTTTTTCGCGTTTTTTCTGCAATTGAAAATTCGTTAGTTGATGCACAATACAAATTAGGTTCGTAATATTATAAA